CACCTTTTAATTCCTCCTGCTTATTACTACATGACCCTCATGCTGAGTATAATTTGGTTTTCCCTTTTATCCAGATATACATGTCCAAGCTGACACTGGTCTTTCTTCTCTTAACCATTATCTTGTGATTCCTTGGTTAAGGATGGAGTGGTTTCATCCTCTCCATTGGGTTTTTTCATCTGGACTGGATAACCAAGGTCAACTTCTTGGATGCCTTTCTATATATTACATTTGCCTCATCCTCCCGTTCTTTTCTTTAATTCATTTACCAGGATCTGATGTTCTATTTTCAAGCTCTTCACTTCAATGTTGCTTTGACTTCTTATGTATTCAACCAAATCATGGGGGCATTTGCTCACCATATGCACAGTTTTGGACTTAGTTTCAATTATTACATGGATGACTGGCCCCGTCTCGCCTCTTCTTGTAAAACCACTTTTTTGGCCACATCACTTCTCCTCCAAGAAGCTGCTCAAATGAGTTGGCTAATCAAACCTTCTAATACTTGATCCAACGTGGAGTTTTCTTCAATTTTTAACTCAGTTGGGCTCAGCCTTCCCCCATTCATCTGTGAGGCATGGAGCATCTATCCGCCTCGACTCTTGCCACTTGTATATTTCCTACATGAGAGGTTCTATCTCTTTTGAGGGCTCTTGTGTTCCTTGGACATCTTGTTTCTTTAGACCGTGCTCACATGAGGCTTTGTCAGTGAACTTTGAGTGACCAATGGAATATCTCCTGCAATTTTCTGTCCTCTCTTGTGATGCTTCTGCCTCCTTTTCTCAAGGATCTCTCTTGGTGGCTAAATTGTACTAACACTACAGTCAACATTCCACTGCTGCTCTTGCATCTATATCTTAGTTTATTCACAGATACTTCTCTTATGGGTTGGGGTTAATCTCTGGATGATTCTCAGCCTCAGGGGTTGTTCTCTTATGGAGATTACTTTCCACATCAATTTTCTGGAACTCTTGGTTACCCATCAGGCATGTTCATATTTTCTACCTTACAGTGTGGATCATTTGGTTATCATTCACTCTGACAATTCTACAGCCAGTTTCTATATCAATCATCAAAGTAGGTCTCACTCCAGAGACTATTGCTTTTGCACATTGGGCTTTCTGTTTTGGGCCAACTTGCATCAGGTTTATATAACTGTCTGCTATTTTCTGAGGCTTTGAACTTGGTGGTGAATTGTTTCACTTGACTAGACAGGATTCTTCCTTTGGAGTGGTCACTCTATCCTCAGGTCTTTCAGTGGATCTCTTTTGGCACACTAATGATCATTCCCTTTGCCACTCCTCTCCATTCCAAGTTCCCCTCTTCTGGTTCCTGGTACCTCATCCATTGGCTCTAGCAATAGATGCTTTCAGCCAGGACTGGTATCATCTCTTTCTGTATGCTCTTTGTCTTCTCCCATTTGTCTTAGCTTTGTTTCATGACATTCTTTGTTGGGTCCTGTTGGGAGCCCTCTTTTGACTTAGTCATCCTTGCTTTCCTCTTCTTCACCAAACTGGTGTCCATGGCATCTCTTCCTCTGCCTTGTTCCTATTCACTATTACTGCAATCTCATACATCTCCCTTTCACCCCGGAATATTGTCTCCTTGTCTCAACATGTGGGATTTATCTTGTTGATTAGATTTCTCTGACTGACTAGCCCTTTTATCTTGTTTGTGTTGCCATTCTACTCTCTTGGTCTTTCAATGATAGTGGTGTGTTTTTTTTATGCTGATCCATCCATCACTTTCTTCTACTAGGTTGTCCTACTGTTGTTCACCTTTCAGCTTTCTTTACCTAGCTATTTGACTGAGAATTGTCAGTTTCTACCATAGTGTGGTATTGAGCAGCCTTGTTGACTACCTTTTTTTTCCATATTTTTCTTGTCCTTCCTCATTCACTATTCCTCTTGTCTGATTCTTTTGCTCAACTGGTCTGATCACTGGTCATGTGCTTTTCTACCAATCCATGTGACCAATTGGCTTCTTTGCCTTCTGTCATACTTTCATGTGGGTAAGACATATATCCTGCAGAGATGGATGCCATCTCCCACAAGTGCTACCCTGCTAGTAAGCTCCATTAGAGGGTGTCACACTCCATTGATTTTCCCCTTTAGTCGCATTCTCTGAAGGGAACTCATCTGGATTTTTGTACTTGCCCCTCTATCACATCAGTGTGAGATTCTAGCCATCGTATGCAGAGAAGTAAGTATATTTATTTGGAAACTAACATTTTTTATTACCTGAAAATGCATTTTTGATAGATCCTTATCTCTGTTCTACACAGCTTCCTATCTATCCTTCCTCCCCACTACCATGCAAATTATTCTTGCCTCATCTAAAAATAAAGTTAATTTTGACTGCAAGTGCTTATGGGGATCTACTGCATATTGAGAATGTTTCCCTCCTACTGGTGAAGAGCTACGGTCATTTGATTATTACACTGGTACAATTCACTTTAAAACGTGTCTTAGGCAAAAGATAGCTCAAGGCTAGTGGCGTGTGCAAAATCTCAAAGGGAAATGTGTGCAGAAAGGTAAGTATCTATTGAAAATAATTTTCAGACAAGGAAAATGTTAACTTTCATGATGAGTTATGAATCAGTCCATACCACTTATTCTGATGTTTAGATCTTCTATGTATAAATTCTGTGTGGAACCCCCTTTACCAAAAATTGTGATACAAAGGTCTGCTGTTGTTTACCAGCTTTAATTTTCTAAATTATAAGTTTGCAAAGCATTATAGTTTTTCATAAAGTTTAGAATAGTTTTTAGTACAAAATTTAATTAATGAGTTTGTAATTGAGTATAGATGATATGTTAGTGATACTTTACTGCTAGATCAATCGATGGCCCCGTTGATCAATTACATTCAGTTGATCAATTAGTACAGTGTTCCTATAACAATAATAATAATAAAAAAAAGGTTGGCTCTGGGTTCTTCCAGACAGTTTTATTCTATCTCTAGTCAGCAGTTCTAAAAGATACAAAAATGAAAAAAAGTCTGTGATGGGTGCTGTCAGACAATTGTCCCTCTCTCTAGTTAGATGTTCAAAATTGGTGACAACGGCGGATACATTTAGTAACTTTGCCTCCCCCCTCCCACCAATTTACTAAAGTTGAACAAATTTTAAGTAAAAAGAAACTTAGAAGGCCAAAATTTGCAGAGTACAGATAGCCCATTATGTAGCTTTATACATGATTGTAATATTTCAGTAGTTAATATAGTCAGAAATAGTAATAATAGGAAACTTTGATCTTTATTACATGATTACTTTTGTGACATTCACTTTAATTGCAATTTCAATTAATTAATTTGTAAAATAATTGTAAACATTAATTTTTGATTATTCTTGTGACACTGGATATAAAAATAATTTTGATTAATCTATTATTTGAATGATTGAAAATGGTAATAATGAGAGACAGTAATTTTGGTGAATCAGTTTAATTGTAGATTTGATTAATAAATTAATTTATATGACATTAATCAGTGTAATTGTCCAGCTCTCTTAAATTGAGTAAGGTCTAAGGTTAAATATACACTATACCAATATCTTGTTGTTTTTTTTGCTTTTTTATCCTGCAGTTCTAACCATTTTATATCAGAATGTTTTGTTAAAAATGAAATGATGATTTTATTTTCATCACATTCTGGATTTATTTTATTCTGTGGTTATGACAGAAATTGAATAAATAATAAAGTTTTTGTTTTAATGTATTGTTAATATTTTATGGCTTTCACTGCATTTGAGAGCAGTATTTTCTTTTCTAAAGGGTTAGTGTTTGAATTTGATTAATTTCTTAAATGTGAAATATATAGATAGTTATTTCACTGCAGTGACTTTCCCAATGCTAGATTCAGTTTTAAATACACAATAAAATAACAAAAACAAATCTACACATTGTAATATTTCTTTACTTTTCTGAAAGTGGTAAATTTCCATGGTACAAATTCCACTAGAAAGGTGCACATAGTATTTGTTTTGATGGCAGTGAAAGAGTTAATAGTTAATATAGAATTAAAAATGTAAAACAGGCTGTTAAAATGAAATGATATTCTAATATGAGTATATTTTTATCATTTGAAACATTTGTAGGTTCTCAGACAGTAAAAAAGATTATTGAGATAAATGACAACTTGTTGGGAACAATGGCTGGAGGTGCAGCAGATTGTGTATATTGGGAAAGAGTGTTATCAGAAAGATGCCAACCCAACTCCATAATCTTGTGTTACATCAAATGTACCACATGTGGATGTGCATTGTCATGGAGAAGAAGAACACCTTTCTGATTGACACGTGAAGGGCATTTCTGATGAAGGGCTTGATTTAAACATTCCAGTTGTTGACTATAGATCTCTGCATTGACAATTCGCTCTGGATTGAGGAGTTCAAAATGAATTACTGCTTTGATGTCCCACCAAATGCAAAGCATCACTTTCTGCAGATGGAGTCCAGGTTTTGGGGTCAGAAGTGGTTTTTGTCTAGCCACTGTTTTTGGCATTTAATATTTGCATAGAGAATCCATTTTTCATCACTGATGACAATTCTGGTTCACATGCATTATGTGCTAGAAGAGATGAAGCAACATTCACATGTTGGAAACACTGATCATCGGAGCATTCACGAGGCACCCAAACACTTTCATTGTGGAGTTTCCAACATTCCTTAGATGTTTACATATTGTTTCATGAGAGGCGTGCAATTTCAAGGCCATTTCACAAGTGTGTTTCCTTGGGTTAGACTCAACAAGCATCTTCATAGCATCAATATTAATCCCAACATGTCAGTCCCTGCCATCACAGTTTTTAAGGCTAAAGTCACCTGAACTAAATTTGCTGAACCATCATTGACACTTACGATCATTCAAAACATTTCCATAAACTTCTTTGATATTCTTTGTGGCTACACAGGCGTCACCTATTCTTGCTCTAACACAATGTATCATCAGTCTGGGAATATTTTTCATCACATGTCTCAGTTGGGCTCAGCCAACTCCCATCCAGCTCCAAGCTATGTTAAAGGAAATCTGACTCTTTCTCACCTCACCTTCTCCCAGTGTGCAGATGATTCTTTTTCATTTGGGAATGTGGCTTCACTCGATTCCATCATTCCTTTGGTATGAGCACACAAGAGTTCCATTCATTAGTCTTAATGAGACCAATGGTTTATGAACAGCGATTCACTGGATTCCCCAGTTTCCATATTCAGGATCATTCTCTTTGATTTCAAGGGGTGGTTAAATTGGAAAAATACTAAGATATGGGTTCCACCTCATCCAGAGATACATCTCTTCATAGATGCCTCGCTTCAGGGATGTGGTGCATATCTCAGTGGTCAGGAATTCCCACAGTCTATGCATGGATGAGGATTCTGTACACAGTGTTTTAGACCTTCTTGCTGTTCAAAGGGCGATATCTCATGGTCTGGGCTAATTAAGGAGAAAATCATCAGGCTTCATTCCAACAATTCTACAGTGGTGTCTTGCATTTCCCATCAAGAGGCCACTTGGTCCAGGGCTCTTTGTTTTCTCAGGACCACTTTTATTAAATCACCCTACTAGCTTGCCATGTTCTATGAGTTATGAGTTTGGGGGCAGATCAATTGTCTCCACCTAAAGAGATTCTCCCGACAGATTAGATGTTGCATAGTGAGGTTTTTCTGTTGAGTTGGCCATTCATTGGAACACTCAACTACTGGCAATTTGGTCTCCAGTACCTCACCTTTGGGCTTTGGCAATCGAAGCATTCCATCAGGTTGGGACGGAATTACAACTCTAGGCCTTCCCACCGACTTGTATGTTACCGAGGTATTAGCTATGATTCGTTCCAACCCATTGTTGGGTCTTATTGACAGTACTGGATTGGTAGCTAAACCCTGGTTTCTGCTTGTGCGGTATTTTCAGGAGTGCCCACTTCTTCCACTTTCTCTTTGGCCATCTCAATGGAGGTTATGCAGTCCTTTGCATAGCATTGGGGTTTAATTTCTAAGGTTGCCATATATCTGTCTCAGTCTTTACTTAGTCCCACAATGGACATTTTTTCATCAACAGGAATGGCACATATATCGGCAATGGTGTATTGAGAACACATATCAGCAATGGTATATTGAGAGGAGGTTGAACCACTTCAATCATAAGTGCCAACCATATCTTGGTTTTTAACCTGGCTATTTGGTAAGGGTTTTGTATCTTTCACAATGGTCTTGTATAAGGGGGCGTTATCAACTACCTTTCAATACTTGAGACAAAATTCTTTAAGTCCCCAGTACTCTCCTACTTCCTTATGTTGTTTTAGGTCCTTTATCCCAAACTACCATTTCAGTTACCTAACTGGTATATTAGGGTGACATTACATTCGCCTTAATCAATACCCGTTTGAGACCATAACCTCATGTGCCATGTATCACCTTTCTCTGAAGGTTTATTTTTTGTTTCTGCTGGCCTACAGACATTGTTGATTTGCACTGATTGTGCACAGGATGGTTTATCATTTTACCTACATTCTCAGACCAGTTCTTCTTCCCTAAGATATTGGCAGCCAGAGAAGGAGATAAATCCTTTTCACCAATTCATTTGATCGCTATTTCTCACTCCTATGACCAATCAGATATTGATCATTTGTTATGTCCAGTGAGGGTCTTGAAGGTTTTGTTGCTTGCCTTAATGCTTTTAGGAATGTTAGACAATGACTTTATTCAGTGGGATCATTCAGTTTCCCAGGATTTATTCCCAGTTACATTGACGAGGTGTACAAAATTGATCCATATTGCTTATTCTGTCGAATAATAGCTGTAGTGGGAGAGGAGGTAAGTATGTTTTGGAACACATTCAAAATTTAATCAAACTACTTTACTATCAATAATATGAAAGTTAAAATTTTCTTAAATCGAAAATGTATTTCCAATAATGCCTACTTCCTCTCATACTACAGCTATTACTCGACTGCCAGGGTTTCCTTCCTTTGCCCATCTAAGCATTAGTCTGAGTTTTTCTCCCTTTCTCCAGTCTTTTATTCCCCACTTAATTGCCCTTGGAGATAACTGTCATGTAATGCTCTCCACCTACATCAATGAGCCCTCTATCCTGGCACTTCATTCAAATAATATTATCACTTTTTCAAGACTGACCCATTTCGCAGTCTCTAACACCGGTTCTTAATGGGGAGAAAGGGCAGGAGGGTGTGACAAGAGGTGTGTATTATTGGAAATACATTTTGATTTGAGGAAATGTTAACAATATCATACACAGAAAGAAATTTAAAAATGGTGCTGGGGGCCATAGGATTGAAAAATCCATATCTTTAAACCAATAGATAAGACAAAATAAATTTTAGGCAATACTATTCAGTTAATGGAAAAAGCTGGAATTTATAAAATTAAATGTGAATGTGGAAGTATATATATTGAACAGATAAAACATAATCTAACGTATCTATTAGCAGAACATAAGGGATGTGTAAGAAATAAAAAGATTGAAAATTGAGCCATAGCAGAACATGTACAAAATATATAAGATATTATGGGATAAAATAGTAATATTGGCTCAACCAAAGGGTATTTAGAACCAGTAATATCCATGAAACTTTGCAAATAATAAAGTATAGAAAAGATCATGAATTAATAAATAGAGATGATAGTCCGTTAAATATCTGTGTAAGAATATGGCAGGACCTCCACTCAGATTTATCCAGAAATAATAAAACTATACATAAATCACTAAAAAGGTATAAATATGACACTATTATGCCTTGCAATTTTGCTCCTGGTGATGATGTTGAAACAGTGAAACATGCAGAGTGAACATTTTGGATGCCATAAATTGACAAACATGTAAACTTTTTGGAGACCATATATTGACCCAAATAAAAAATGTTTTTAATTGTGCATCTATTTCAATGTTGTGTGCTATTTATTATTTAAACTCTTAAGTACATTTGAGAGGTCTTGAGTATTCAGTAAAAAAAAAAAGTACAAGACAAAATGAAGTTTTTTTTTGATGCAGCGTTTCTCAACAAAGTTTTTTTTTTTTTACAAAAACTACAAATTTTTTAGAAAGTTCGTGTGAACTTCCATACAGCTTCATTGAGTAGCCTGTCTGTGAAACCCAAAAGACTAGGTTTATTGATTTGACAGCCTCAATCTACAAAGGTTAATCACATGTATTTATCTCTTAGCAGTGTATAATTGTTTTCATTTACTATGTATATGGTATGTTTACTTAATTTGTCATGAGTCCAACTTATTATGAGTTACTTAGAAGGAACAAATTAAGTTTGAAGAAAATTAGTCAGCAAAAGATTTATTTCTAAATGATCATTGTAGGCTTATTAAAGGACTTTTCAAATTTTTGAGAACCTAGTATGGGGTGGTTATTAGATACATATAAAATTTATATAAAGTAATTTTGAAAACTCTATGATATTGGTCAAACTTTTGAGTCCAAGATATCAAATCTTATTTTCAAGAAAGTGTGGAAAAGTATTATTTTGGTTTGAATGTCACATAAGGCATAAGTAGGTTTGGTTTCGAATATAAATTGTATGATGAGACTAGAACTTTCTCCAACCTTAACTAAGTCACAAAATCGACCATGCTTGGATGATAATGATTTTTTGAGACTGAGTGAGTGTTTCTTATCAGTTTTGCTATTAGTCTTCCAGAGTTGACTTATTCTTTTGAAACATTTCAGCTAGTGCCTAAATTTCCAAATGGACTAGCATTGGAATTTTGAGTTGGCTGTTTTATAACTTTTATATTACTAACTATTTCTTTTCTTCTACATGAAATACTATACCTCTTAAACAACAGCACAGTATTTTTTGGATCATCATACTGATAAAATTCAAACTTAGGGCCAATTAACAACTTCTGTGTCAAGCTTTTTTTGGAAAAGAGTCATGGTTTAAAATTTTAATAGCCTATTATAATACACAACATGCACAGTATTTTTTGGATCATCATACTGATAAAATTCAAACTTAGGGCCAATTAACAACTTCTGTGTCAAGCTTTTTTTGGAAAAGAGAGTCATGGTTTTAAATTTTAATAGCCTATTATAATACACAACATGCAAATAGGTTTAGGCAAACGATTAAAATAATGGCAAGAAAAATGGTTTACCCAAATTAACTTGGGCAAATATTCTTTGAAACATGGAGGGCATCTGGTAAGTCATGGAAGGGGTTAAGCATAATCCAATGCCTATAATGTACAAACATAATTATATTATCCTTCATTATACTATAACTTTTGATAATATTTTCCATTCTTCAATTAGATAAATATTGACTCACCTCCATGTTTCCTGTTTGCTTTCTCAATTAAATTTCTTAGAGTTTTGTTTTTGCACAAAAACTCTTCTAGTTTCCAAAATGTTCAGTGTTTGTCTCTTCAGTCCATTTAACATTGTCTGATTTATTTTTTCAAATTTTGTGATCATTTGTTAAATTTAAATATTAAGACCTGAAATATTAAACTTTTTGGTTACAACCTTTCAGTTAGGCTACTTTTGCAACTGTCTTTGAACAGTTCTGATGCCAATTCTGTTTCGATACATCAGATATTTCTGTTTTGTTTGTAGGGATGCATTGAATCTATATAATTTTGAAATTCTTTTTTGGACATTTTTTTTAGATGTTTTCTCCTGCTATTATACTTGAAACTCCCCATTTTCAATGATCTTTCAAATGTATGTTTTTAAACGTTTTTGAGCAATATGCTATTGAGTTTTCTTTTAAATTTTAAATTTTTCATAGCTTATTTCTACAGTCTTCTTATTCTAACAGTAAACCAGGTTGAAACTTATGAAGTCTGTAATACTTTACTGGCCATTCACTACTATTAATTGAAACACCACTGTTGGTCACATAAAATAAGTATGAAAATAAATATTTCATCATAAATACACATCAGTGAACCAATATTACTCAATAAACATTTGATTATAAGTAGTGGTTGATACCCAATTATGTTGCAATACAGTTTATGAAGTAACATTGTTTTATTTTTTTATTGTAATTACAAGACATCATGTGAATATAACACAGGTAGACATAGCAAAGAAGACACTCTTAATGTGTACCTGTTCTTGCAGGATTTTTATAGCAAAATTAGGCATTTTGTTTTTGGTGTTTTGTAACACTTGTTTATGTTCAACTCATTTTATCAAAATAGTAACTTTTTCTTTTAATTTTTTGTCTCTAGAATTTATGAACTAAGAAATAGAGAACGTATATCAGTTGCAGCAGCATCAAAATTACTATCCAACATTTTGTACAACTATAAAGGAATGGGATTGTATATGGTAAGTAATTTACTTGTGAAATATTTAGATATTCAATATTCTGTAATAGAAAAATTCTGTGTCATGTAAACAGTCTAATGACCCAAGCAGTGATTTGTTTCTTTATTTTCAGAGTATTTCTACTTCAGTTGTTGACAGTAAAATAAACATAGAAAATAAGTGTAAAATGTTTAACAGTTGAAACTTTCAAAAGAAGTACTTTGTAACATCTTGATCAATACTAAAGAAAAAAGGGCACAGCCACTCATTTTATTTCTGATGTTACAACTTTTCATTATACTTTGATAATTTGTCTACTGGCTGAAGAATCAAAGATATCTTTAGGGTAGAGGTAATAACAGATAAAATATAAAGTTTTAAATAAAAAAGTTTTATATTTAGGGGGTATTGGAGGTTACACAAATGAAATTTGAGATTATTGAGACAATGAAAAATATTTTTAATCTTAATTTAATATTCACATTGCACTTGAACTAGTGAAAAAAAAAGATTTGATATATTCAATGACAAATCTTTAGTAAAAATACTTCATTGAAAAGCTGATTTTTTGTGCACAAATGACATGTAATGTTTCTAAAAGTCTGCCAAGTTTTGTGAAAATACATATAATCTATTAAAAATATAGTATGGAAACTATAACAACTACAAAGTGGTCAATTCAACTAACCCCATGTTGAGAGAGTTAACAGTCACATAATTAACTACTAATATGCAACCAGTAACATAATTAGTGGTCATTTGTAAAGATTTAGTTATAGGAATGTCCTACAAACATATGTAATTTTCTTCATAGAGTTTAAAATAACTTGCAGGTAGTTGTTCTTCAGACTATGTTCCTGTGTATCAAGGATACTATTGCTTGATATGCCCTTTTATATCGAAATAACAGAGCTTTGATTTTTTTTCAGGCTACTGTTTATAACACAGTTCGGTATGGATTCCTAGTTTCAGTAATAGTTTTCCTTAAAATCATATCTCATTGCTGAATGATTTAGTCCAATTTCCCAGGAAATTGTCACATCAAAATGTTAAACTCTTTTATCTCATATGACGTGAAGCTCTAGTTTATATAGTTTATCTTGGTTGGAATTATGGTATTATAAGGTATTGGCTGTTAAAATATTCCTCTGAATATTTGCTTTCTTTAACTTTCATCACTTTTCAGAAAGTGAATCAAACCAAATTATATGTACATTGTTAGATGTATTTGATTTGGAAGTTATTTTCCTTACCTGAAAATGTATTTCTAATAAATACATTCCCACCCATCATCCCCATTTCAGGTGCACATTTCTAACTTGCCTCAATGAAGAATGAAGATTCAGGAGTTGCAAATGCTTGGGGGGAGTTAGTGTGCATGGAGGTGTGTCACCCTCCTATTGGTGGAGGGGTTTTGCTGCATGGTGACATCATCATGCAGTGGCACAAATTCATGTGAAATTAGGTGGGAGTTTTCACAAGGCTGGTGGCATGTAAATATCTTTGGCAGAACATGTGGAAGAGCTGAGTAAGACAGATAAACTGTATGCAGATGTGATTATCTATTGGAAATACATTTTCAGGTAAGGAAAATATCAACTTTCTTTACCAGTGGTGTAAGAAGTGAGGGGACTTGGGTCCCCATTCTTCAATTTGTCTCAGTTTAATATGCATCAAAGTTAAGAAAATAATTCTTAGGAAAAGCAGGAGAATGCATTAAATTTAATCCAGAACACAAGAGTTTCCATGTCCTTAAGGTGAGCCCTTGTAATGGGTGCACCTGTGGTGCACATTCCCTTGCTTCACTCAGCCAAATAAACTTTGGGCCCATCCACTTTTAATTTGCCTTTTACATCTCTGTTTACTATAGGTCTCTTGGCTAATCTGATAAAATTCATTAGTGCTGTATCAGTAGAAGTGTTGTCACACAGTAAAAATGCTACATGCTTACCAACCTCCTGAGTCAAGTAATTTGCAGCATGTTAAAGGTCCTTATAATTGTTGAGGTTTGAGTGAAGATCGTAAAATTGCTGTTCTCTGCTTCAGGGTTCCGAAACCCTCCCCATTATAATTCACAGTGGCCCTCATGTACTGATCAAGCACTTCCATTATCCCCAACTACTTCTATAGCTACCCTAAGGGGGTTCAGTACCAAAAATCAAATCCTATTAGGACACCCACTCATGCTATTAGCTTGTGAATGAGATTATAAACACAGTTTCAAATGTGAGAACCTCAGGATCCCGATACTAGATTTGGGTTCAGTGACCCTCAAAACCTGCTCCTAAACCCCCATCATGCCTGGTTGATTTTCAGGTTATATTTTAGCCATTCTTAATACCTTCTTGGTAGAGAGACTATACCATATAAATAAGAAGACCACCACCTGGGTCATCCTGAGTACTGCTAAATTCAAAAGCTTAGGAATAGTTTGTAGACAGACAAAAAATAAATTGACACACAACATTAATCAATATAGGATATATATATATAGGCTCAGTTTTTCCCATTTTTTAGGTTTAATCATTTCCTTCAGTATGTTTTAATAGTTGTGAATCTATTATCTACAGCTATAAGTTAGGCTCTCTCTCTGTCTTTCACAGCAGTGTAATTATTAAGTTAAGGAAGAACATATTCCTAATACTTCCAAACATCTAAACTGTGTGAGTATGGTATTTATAACTTGTAACACATTGTTACTAGATAAATTTATAAGTAAAGAGGGTTGTGTTACTCTGAAGTTACTTTTTTTTAGTCAATAACTAATAATTTGTAAGTAAATGGTAGATTATGCAAGGTTTCAGATGCTTCATTAATACATCAACTCTGTTAGCTAATTTTTTCTTACAGATACAACCACAGTAAACACTTAACTTATGTAAATTAAACTTTCTGGCCATCACTCTTATCATTTGTTTTAAGGCACAAATATAATTGTTACATCTATCTGTTGTTTACTGTTAGGGACCAGGTTTATATTATGTTGACAGTGAAGGCAATCGATTTCCTGGTGATCGTTTTTCTGTTGGTTCTGGCTCCACCTATGCATATGGTGTAATAGACAGAGATTTTGACTATAGTATGACTGATGAGGAAGCTTATTAGCTGGGACACAGAGCCATCTACCATGACACTTTCAGAGATGCTTACAGTGGTGGTATTATTCGAGGTAAGTTTAAAAAAACAAGTTTTAGAATTTTTGTGGAAATATTGAACAGTATATGCAATCTTAATTAGCTGGTAATGTTTCAATTTTAAAAGCAATTTTAAAATATGTTTCTCTTAATTTAAAACTATTTTATTTCAAAAAATATTATTCAAAAATTGTGATAATTTGGAGTAAAGTAAATATATATATATATGTATTTATTTTATATATATATTTAGTTCATAGTTCCTCAGAAAAAAGTCATGAAATCTGTACTGGAATTTTTAAACCTTCTGTCAGAACTTGTGTTGTAAAACATTGTTTATTGAATGTAAATTATTATAACTATTTCTTTAAAAAACAACAATTAGCATGCAGGTAATAGTTGTTGAAATGTCTTTTGAACTTGTAGATGACATTTCAGTTCACATTTTTATGCATTTTTGACTATGGATAGTGTATAACCGTTAACTTGTAGCAATATTAATAGTCCTTGTTGATTATTAGCTGCCAAACAGAATTTCATTTGTCAATCTTGAACTTAAGTGGTGAATGACTTCCAAAAATGTAACTCATATAAAAACTTGAATTAAAATGTTCACTTTCCATGTAGTAATATTACTTGTATCTGATTACTAGTGAGTAATCATTTTAATTTCTGGTTCCTACTTATGATGCAGTAATATACGTCAAAACATGTATAGTGTATGAGACTGTTTTCCAGTCATATTGGGTTTTTACTATTTTTTCCCTGTACACTAAGTTATTTGTATTTCATTGTAATTTTGAGACTGGAAACATTCATTTTTAGAATTGTGTGTAAAATAATTGTTGTTTTTAAAAACTTGTGAGTTTTTTAACATTGAATATTACACAAATGCCAATGAATGTTTTAAAAAAAGATAGTATGCTGAAAATTAATTCTAGAACTACTGAGCCATCAGTTAAGTCTTTATGGTAAGGTTGTGATGATGAGATATCTATTGTTGTCAAATTTTAGTAGCCTATACAATCACCTTAGTCTAATCATTAACTATTAATTAATTTTGTTCTAATTTTTATTTATTCTTCACCTACTTGTTTTTTTACAATTTAATAATCAGCTACTAATTAACAGTTACTTTGTTATCTTATGTTTTGATTAGTAATCTGTTGGTGTCTCCAGGGTAATCCTCAGAAGTACTGTTTTTGTGTTGTTAGTTGCTGAGATTCAATTCTGGGTCTTTTGGATAGAAAATATTGTACATTATTCAATCAGTTGATTTCAGAATTTGAATCAACTGGCTACTTGAATGTTTTCAAGAGGAGTATCCAGGTTATGCTGTGACTTCTATGCTAAATTTACTGAGCAAAAATGTAAACAACATAATTCCAAAAGATCTTAAGGTGGTTAAATTACCCGTCAACATCACACAATGTCAAAATCAATTCAGAAACTTGATAAAGCCTTGCTCCAAGATAGGATCAGTTATCACCATATAAGTAAGCACATGGTACAGAATATCTTAATGCTGTATGTGATGATAGATAATAAATTATGTTGCTTGCTGTATTAAGATGTGCATGGCTATTCAAACTTCATATCAACACATACACATGTACTAAAGAAATTCATATAAAGAAACACAATTTGCTCATTTATTTTCAAAACAAGAAGCCTTTTTACACTACAAACACACCTAACTGCACTGTAGTGAACTTAAGTAAACAATCCTTAACAGAATGTGAAGAAAGCATATTAAGTAAGAGACGTAACATTGCCCTAACAAATGATAAAAGACCCACTTTAGATATAGCTGCACTCACAGAAGACACAATTTACAGCCTACAAGAAGAAGAAAATGATTAAGAACCAAAATAAAATCAGCAGCCCAGAAAGTCAAGAAATTAAAAACTCACCATAAAATCTCTTTATTAAAAAAAAAACTGCCCTCAGAAGTTTGAAAAAAAAAAGAGAAATACTTGAAACTGTAGTTCAATATAGCCACTACACAAAGATCAAGTCCAATCCAATTGCTCACACAGAGAAGAAAATTAACAAACTCCTCAATAAATATCAAAAAGACTGGAACAAAAATAATCAAAGAACACCACAGCACCACTTCACAAATCTATGGTCTATTAGGAACTCGCACACAAGGCTGCCCCGTCTGTACTCCAGAGTTAACTGCACAGACTCACTACTTAATTAGATATCTTGTAGGTATAATATCCCCATCAACAGGTAAAACATCTTTATATATGTTAGGAACTTAGCCCATTTTATAGATATAAAAGCAACCTTGATAACTTCACAAGAGACAATGATCAACTTTGATGTATCCAACCTCTTCACTAATATATCAAGATCTAGTGCACTACAAATACTCTGTAAACAGCTTGGAAATAATAGAACTCTAAAGGAGTGCATTCAACTGACAATCTCATGATAACAGAACTTGCAACCTTCTTTTCAACACAACCAACTTCTGACATGAAGATAAATACTACCAATGAAAAAGAAGGCCTAGTCATGGGCTCACCCCTATCACCAGTATTTGGTAACCTCTACAAGGAACATTTCAAAGTTAACACCTTCAAATAATCACTCTTTGCCCTAAGATTTGAATGGTGATTTTTCATGCTAAGAATAGAAAATACTTTTAATGTTACTGGTTTAATATTTTATTTGTATAACCTCTAGAACCTCCTACTTTTTCTATAAAACTATTTTATTTTATTTCCTCTGCTCAAACACTAACTGGAATCATCAGTGTTCAGTGAAATATTGAAAAATATGAAATAAAATGAATAATACTATTTTATATCTTCTTCACTGATGGTGTGTTGATTTGTTATCTTAACAGTTTCAATTGTTAAAACCCTTTAGCATCAGTTTTCTTTTAATTTTATAGTTTCATTGCTATGCTTTGTACCTACTGAAGCAATAGTCCTATCATCAAAAGCCACCAGTCACAATGGGAACCGTTAGTTGTTTTATGTAATGCTAACATAAACAGCATGTGACATGAGTGCCATGTTCCATTCCATGTTGGAGCTTGTGAAATTTTAGATATTAAATTTTACTGAAGTTGTGTTTGACTAAGCTGAGAAGTTTATCACAATTGTAATATACCCACACTTCAATTTTCATTTTGTCCATCAACATTATTTACATTGTACTTATTCCTATCAGAAATTGAGTCATACCAATGTAAACATAACAAATTGCTCATTATTACTAGTAATCAATAACACAGATTAAGAAATAGATTGTATTTCTTACTTTTTTTCTGTTAGATCTCTTGGTTTGTTTTTCTCTCTTGCATCTCCCAATCTTCTTTTTTCTTTTATTGAACTCTTATTTTATATTCCTTTCTCAAACCCATACTGAATGGGTCTCTTTCTTTCTGAACTTGCATCTGTTTCCCTTATATTGGATTATAACATTTCACAACCATAGGAGGTCTTGTAGTCTCCATACTGGCTGAACTTAGAAAGGCAGTCACTCTACCTGCTCATTATAGTCATTTTCTAATAACTTTAGATTATTGTAATCTCATAATTCCTTAGAGATTGACCAAAGTCTGGCCACTTTGTCACATGCTCAACTTCAACTCGTTGTTACCTTACACCTAACTTTATAGCAGTTTAATTATTATTGTTACAAAAAATATAACAGTAAGTCAAAATACACATAAAAAACAAGGATTTATTTTATTCACTGTGTACTCAAGCCTTTTGTACTCAAGTAGAAATCCAATATCTTTTTTCTGTTTAGGTGCTGTAAACTATTAGTCTACAGGAATACCTGGTTTGTGGTGAGCATTTTTGCTGCTTCGAATAATAATGGAAAATTTTTCACCTATTTATAGCTTACTTAGAAACTGGGATACATTATAGTAGCTTTGAGACACTTTATTCTAGTGACTAATATATATTTGTGTTCTGAAATGTATACTTTAAAAGCTACATGAACTGTTTTTTTTTGAACACCCAAACTTCTGAGACTACAAAAAAACAGTTCATGTAGCTTTTAAATATGCATTTCAGAACACAAATAAGTTTCTAAGTAAGCTATAAATAGGTTAAAAATTTTCCATTATTGTTCGAAGCAGCAAAAATGCTCACTACAAACCAGGTATTCCTGTAGACTAATAGTTTACAGCACCTAAACAGAAAAAACATGTATAAGATTTATGTAGAGAAGAATATGCTTTTTATGTTGATTATAAACATTTGTTGGAAGATTATGAATTAGATCTAAGCTGGGATGTTAAAGAAGGTTCATCTATATCACAAGTACTCGGTAACTTTGACATGGAACATTTCAGATTTAACACTCAAATAACTTTATCCCCTAAGGTTTGGCTCAGGAATGTTGACACTACATTTGTAGTATGGTCATGTGCTGCAGACAATGTTCAAGAATCCGTGAACCACTTGAACAGACAACATCCTACAATACAATTCACAATGGAAATAGAAAAAGATAAACTCATTCCTTGACATGATGATTATCAAAACACAAAACTCGTGTATCAAGAAGTTTAACACATAACTCATAGAGAGGAATGAATAACTTGATTATAGTTTAAATCAACACAACTGTGTATAGATGAGCAAAATAAATTAAAAAAAAACAAGACTAGTAAGACCAAAGAAATAAACATAAAATTTAATGCAGATGAATATTTAGTTATGACACTTTGGAGGCATTTTGGTGTGAAATTTGCTTCATTCTTTTATCAAGTATAGGATTTTTTTGTTTGTTAGTTAGTTTAAGTATGAATACTTCAAAAAGTACAATTTGGAGAAGATGCTTGCAAAAATTGATTTTTATCAGTTTTACTACACCATAACTGATAGAATAAAAAATATACAAGTTGCATTTGTAAAAGTTGTTTATAATACTTTAGTTATTCAAACCATAAAGTAATTATACTTTCACAGACAACATGTTGAATGTAATAGTTTACTTTCTTCATATGATCTTGGACTTGCTAATTACTGTTGTTTTGTACAAATTCAATAACTGTTAAAAGTAATACATGTGAAATCATTATACAACACTAATGTAAAAGTTTCTTTGGCAAAATAGCAATGAATTTCAGTGTTTGTTCTCAAAGAACATGTTAAACTTATTCTTGCAGGATTTGAAAATGAGTGTAAAAGTTCAGTGAGAAATATAGAATGGTTTCTGGTGTAGTAGTATCAGTTTGAATTAACATGTAATCTTTTTTTTTATCATATAGTATATCATGTGAAGGAGACTGGGTGGCAGAAAATCAGTGAACAAGATAGTGTGGATCTTCATTACAAGTATCAAGATGAAGTTTTTAGCTCTGAAATGAAATAAATTATTCTTTTTTCCTTTATTTGTAACCATAATTAACAACTTTTGTTCAATAAAATTACCTAGTATATTAAATCTCAAATGTTCATATCAATTATTTTACCTAATTTTATGCAGCAGTATGATTCTCTAGATGTATAAGTTGGCTATTACAATGTATAACAACACACTGAATAAATATATTTTATAGTTTCTAAGTTAGGTACACTGTGTTACACATCTTCACATTGGAAAGTTCTGTGGAGCATCTAAATATATAAAAAATATAGTCCTAATGAGGAAGGCAAGTGTTTATGTAACAGGGTTGAGGGAACAGATCCATTGCACATTAGTTCTTAATTAACTAAAACATGACTTTGGATTTAATAAAATTGCATAGATAATCATAGGAGAAACTATAGGTTGTTCTTGCATGTTTGTTTTGTAACATTCTTGATTTATAAAAGCCCAGTTTATATATTTGTGTGTGTGTCACGTGGCCATTGCACATTAGTTCTTAATTAACTAAAACATGACTTTGGATTTAATAAAATTGCATAGATAATCATAGGAGAAACTATAGGTTGTTCTTGCATGTTTGTTTTGTAACATTCTTGATTTATAAAAGCCCAGTTTATATATTTAAACAAGAAAACCTTATTTACCTAGTCAGAGTTGGTTGAATTGAGCTTGTTTTGGACACAAAGTTGTAATATACATGTATGATATACTTATATTAAACTGATTTTTACTTAGAGCAGGTCTGATAATTAACAGGATATATGATAACTTACACAGTTGTACTGAATTTACCTAAATAATGGAGTTCATGAAAACCAAATAAAGAGACTGGACACAATAAACAATTGCTATTATGACAAATACAGGGCATACTTGCTTGGCTGACAAAGAACAGTAATTTTTTACTGGATCAGAACTGTTCATTCTCCAAACGGACTTCTTTTAAGATTGTCTAAATCTAATATCTGTTACTCAAAAGTTAATGTTGGATTTACTCAAAGCAATTAGTGCTACTCACGACTAGTCACAGCTAAAATTGGGATTTTATACTCTTGGTGGACACAATACAGATGGCCATTTGTGTAGCTTTTTGCTTAACAATAAAAAAACAACAAATGACTGGTCATTCTCATTCAAACATAACAGAGGCTGTAACCTCATGATATCACCTGAACTATCATTGGAAGATACTTCATATATTAGAATAAGTAGCTAATCAAAAACAAAATAGAAATAAGGAGGTAGAAAATGCTTGGTGTGTTTGTATATGACATTTAGATGGTGAAGGACAACATAGCTTAATTAACCAACGTACACCATCGTCACAATATGTTTATATGTATAGTAGTTATAGCTGATGTGTATTTCATAGTTATAACTAGCCATTTAGAATTAAACTGAATTTGGCTCAACTACTGATCACTATATTCAAGAATTAAATAAATTTAATAGTCTGTAGAATTTTAAAAACAAAAGTTTAAGTTATAAAAGAAAATCATGACTCAAAGAAGTAGGTGAAAGAAAGAAGTGAGAAGATGGCTGCTGCCTCTAGCACCAGGTAGTTATCTGAACTAAGTAAATATAATAAAAGCAGACCTAATACATCTTTTTGACAAAAGAGGGCAGGGCACAAAACAAAGTCATCATTATCTTTACCTAATGAAAATATTATTGGATTAAGGAATCTGTTTAAGCATAAACATTTTCACTTTAGAACCATCAATTAGTTGTTTAATAGTATCTAAATGTAAATAAGTTATTTAAATGTGATACTCGTATGAGTAGTATTGCGACAACTTTTGGCAATATTCTACTCTTAAGGGGATAAGCAACAATCACATAATGGGTGGTAGGTTATTTCAGTATTATGTAAAATCTCGTTATAGGTATTACTAGAATAGGAAGATATAAAGACAGATACAACCATCTCAAAATGTAAAAGTAAAATATGTTGAAATGGTATGAAAAATTGTTTTATTTAATTTTTTTTCTAGACTTGAGTCAAAGAGGAAAGTTAATGCTTATTTCTATTGGAAAAGCGTTTTACATGTAAAGATTCCTTCATCTCTTCCACATTTCTACTTTTTCAACTAAAAGTTTAATATTAAAGAGTGATATTTGTTCTCTTCATATTGCTGGTTTTTTGCAGCTAGGGTTTTAGTCTGTCACTTTGATAACAAAACGTTCACGGGTTAAGATATTTATCCTATGGTAACATGTTTTGAATTTATTTTTCAAGTTAGCTGATGATTACTGACAAGTAATGTTTTCTAACTACTATCACGTACATGCCACTGTTGTTACTTCACAAAAATATTTTCACAATAAATAATTTTTTCATTGGGACTGATTTTGACTCAGAGTGTCGTCTGCAGTGCATTTTTTATTTCTTTTCTTACATTACATATATTATTTTTCACATATCTTTTATACTTGTAGCAGTTTCAGAAATGATTCATGTATAACTCACAAAAGCTGCTCTTGACTTGGTTATAGTTCAGAGCAGAAACACATGTGAATTGTAGTTGTGGTAATCACAGGTAAAATTTCAGCTGACACAAATATGAAGTCTTCAACAGACGGTTTGAAAATATTTGCTACCAGTAGAATAAGTTAAACATAGCAATAAAGTGAAAAACAAGAATAAAATTTTTATTTCTAAACACAAACATTGAGATGTATTTACTTAGCACTTGTGATGTCACACTGAATAAGCTAGCTGGCCTCTTATCAATCTCACATTTTGATGTCTGCTGGAGCTAAAGATGGACACAATTTCACGCTGCAAAGACAAGGATTCTGTGTATATCATACTTGTCATTTAGACTAAAGTTGTAATGTGTTATTCAACAATCTACTTCGGCACTTAAGTATGGGTGATATAGAAGCTTGACCAAACATACAAGAGTTTTTTTTTCACAAAAATATTGAAAAATATTTCTGAATAAATCTTAATAAAGATGTATTGTTTTATTAATAGAAGAATAAGCTAGATCTTGAACTGCTACACTCTCTTTTCTTTTTATCTCAGTGCCATTATAGGTCTGAACCTTTAAAATTGACTTTAAATATAAACTTTAAGTGAATGTTAACATACTCCTTTCATTAATGGGCCCGGCATGGCCAGGTGATTATAGCGCTCGACTCGCAATCTGTGGGTCACGGGTTCGAATCCCCGTCACACCAAACATGCTCGTCCTTTCAGCCGTGGGGGCGTTATAATGTGATGTTCAATCCCACTATTCATTTGTAAAAGAGTTGGCGGTGGGTGGTGATGACTAACTGCCTTTCCTCTAGTCTTACACTGCTAAATTAGGGACGGCTAGAGCAGATAGCCCTCGTGTAGCTTTGCGCGAAATTCAAAAACGAAACAAACAATCACAGTCTGCAGCCAGTTGTGGGAAGGCAGTTACCTTTAAAAAGATGTAAGAAAATCAAAAGTAGAAATAAGATAAAATTAAGCCACCCAAAAAATATATATTTCTACTAACTAATGCCTACCATCCTCCGCCATTAAAAGTTCTAAAAAATCCGTAGGGTAGAACAAATACCACCGCAGTAATTCTACTATATGTTATTCCCAACCTCCATCCTTTTCTGAAAATGTCTTATGACTTTTAAAAAAAATATATCTTAATATATATATATATATA